TTACATACAGAAAGCTTCTTTGGATATACAATATTCGGTAAGGGCGTTAATCTCTACGTCAAAAATAATGATTCTAGTTTTGTCTCTTTTAAAATTTGATTTCAACAGTTATAAAAAAAAATTTTGATTAATTATGATAACTAAGATTGGAAATACAATTTCAGAATAATCTTTCTCTTCCGAAAACTGAAAATATTTAGATGAGGATTACTTGAGAAATTTTATTTCAATGAAAAAATTTTTATTCTTAATATCTGAGTATATAATGCAAAAAGTGAATTAGGAAATGATTGAATTTATTTAATTAACATCATATTAAAAAAAACAAAAACGATTTCATTCATGTTTCAAATCGTGAAACATTGAGCCAAGAGTTTAATTTATTTTAATATTCAATTATGTTTCACCAAGAGTTAAGCGAGAATTCAATCTCATTCATTGTGTTAATTTATTGCACTCTCAGGAATAATATTTTTAAATATGTATATTTTCCTGTTCTGAATTTTTTTTTCGAATAAATTCTATTTCATAAGCTCCACTCAAATATTCAACATTTCGAAAATAAAATATTTGCTTTGGAAGGATAAAAATTAAAATAGTGCTATAGTTAGCATATGAGATTCAATGAATAAATTGTGTATAATATATAACCTCGATCACCGATCGCAATCGCAGTTTAAACTCACTCACAGTTTAGATCACACTGATTCAGAATCGCCGTGGGTCAAATCGCCGTGATTCAAAATCGCGGAGATTTAAAATCGCGGTGATTTAAAATCGCGGCGATTGAAAATCGCTGTGATTCTAAATCGCTGTGATTCTAAATCACCGTGAATCACAATCGCCGTGATTGAAAATCACGGTGATTTAAAATCGCTGTGATTTAAAATCGCTGTGATTCAAAATTGCCGTGATTGAAAATCGCTGTGATTCAAAATCGCCGTGATTGAAAATCGCGGCGATTCAGAATCGCCGTGAAATATAATCGCAGTGATTTACAATCGCCGTGAATGAGCAATCTGAGTTTAGGTCGCGATCACGCAATTTGCTATTATAAAATAATTTTTGGGAATATGAATAAACCGAAGAAACTTTAGATGTTACACCCAGTAATTTCTTTTAATTTTCGATTCTTTGTGAAATCATAATTTTTTTATAGAAATTTTTTTCCTGAAAACAGTTTATTAATGTATTAGGATTTATTACATTATTAGATTATTATTTAGGAAAATTATATTTGTGAGTATTATTCGCTAATATTGGTTTTCTGGTAATATTGGTGGTAATTATTGATTTTATGTGAAAAGCAAAATTTTAGTCATTTGCAGGCGAAAAATATTTATTTCAAGTGTGTTAAAAGAAGCATGCTATATTAAATGATTTTCTAACTTTTTCATTCTTCCACAAAAATTATTTCTGATATGATATATTTACTTTATACATTTATATATTATACCTTTGACAAAAGCTGATTAGTTATACTGTTTGTTTAGCTCAATGGTCTACTTTTTATCGATGGATTTGAACACGAAGGGGGTTACTATCTTTGTACATTACTTATCATTCAATCACTTAACTTAATCAATAATTTAACAATTTTCAAGTATATGAAATATGAATGATTTAAAAATTTTAATAGGCGTTATCCATAGTACTTTGTTTTATTTTTTTGTGAAATCATAATATTTTAATACTTATATTACTCCTAAAAACACATTGCAGGTAAAAATAACATTTCTATGTTGAATATGATATTTTCAGAGAAGAAGCATGCTATATTATACTACGATTATATTTTATTAAATTGAGAAAAAAAATTATTAAAAAATATTTCAATATTTCAAATTAGAATTATATTATTTATTGAATGAACTTTTGAATAAATTGTACCTTTTGATTTTGAGATAAATATATATTTTAGGTCAAATATTCCTTCAGTATATTTGATATTGTCTGATGAACGTTTAGTATATTGGAATTCTTGAAAATAAAAAAAAAAGTTCAAGACTTCAAACACGGTTAGTTTATTTCAATGGAAATCTAAACTGTGATCGCAGTCACTACTAAAAATCACTGTGATTTACAAATCACAGTCACTATGATCACCGATACTTGAAAATCACTGGATCGGTCATCTCTACTTGATATATAGTTATGTGAAATTAATTTCGTAAATAACAATTTAAACGAAATTCTCCAATACTAATAATGTTAGAGGCGTTATCTATGCTTTCGTGACGTATGCAATTTTGTCGATATTATATGGGCTACAGATGTCTATACTCAACCATTAGAAACCTGCCAAGAAGAGCATCAGATATTATCAGCGCCACCTGTCCGCTAATAGCGTAAACTTACTGTAATAAAACGGAATTACACTAGAATTCTTCGTTTCAAAATTAGGTACGTAGAATCTGCTAACCTATGTACTCCTCAATTTTATGATAGCCTGATATAAGGAAGATTTGCAATTTTACCAACCATGTTAGTCTATCATCATTCTCCAAACAAAATCCCCTTGTCTCCTCATTTCCTCAACTGAATTATTTCTGACGCATTGCAGAATAATGAAGAAGATTAAAGAAAGTTGGCCCAAATCAATAAAAGATGAATCAAAACCTGTCCAATATTCGAACTTGTTTTCTTAAGACCCATGCATTGTTTAGCTTAGACCATACCAAAAACATTCCCACAGCGTTTTTTGAAACTTGTGAAGAAAGTTGCATCTAAGTCAAATCATATCTTCTTGCATAAATTAAAAGTGAAGCCAATTGCAAATGTGTTCACCAAATTTTAGGAGGTTATTAACAAAATATGACAAACCCCTTGATGAACAACAGTAGAGGGAAAGACTGGAAAAAAGATAGAAGATTAGTGAAAAGATGCATGGAAATTTGGACGCATTAATTCTTGCATATTCTGTTACCCTGTTCACTCGACTATCCGAATCCTTTTCACAATGGCGTGCTTTTGCATTCCTGGAATTCACGCCAAAAATATTTCCTCATGTTGCCAACATTAATCAATTCCAATGATTAGGAAAACATAATATTCGCAGATAAAATAAGAATGGATCCTGAAGAATTCAACGAAAAAGCATGCCTTGCTTCCCCCAAAATCATTGTGGTTGGAGTTGTGAGTAATTTTTTCCGTCAGGCGATTTTCTGGGAGGTTTGATAACTAGGAACCCATAAAATGAAGGAGGTATACGTACTACAATGAACTGTTTTTTGTTTGCAATTTCACTTTCGCTTTAGTATCACGAAATCATTAGATATGGCAGGGCCTAGCGATTAGGATACTATGCCACATAGGAGATGTACTATAATTTTAATTGTATCAGTGAGACATCTGCCGGTCAGTGAAACAAACATGCTTTGGAACTTGCTTGACTAATTTTTATATTGAAGGTTTCATACATATATTTCCAAAAGTAAGAAAAAATTAAATGTAATTATTCCTTCTAGGATTATTGTAGGCACACAATATATAAAATCGGACTTCATAGGTATATATTATAGTTAATTGAAGAAACAGAGTTCAAAAATCATTATTAGGTACCTGATTTTCTCAACACTTCTTAACATTTCTGTGACTGAATTTGAAAATTTGAAACTGATACTCTTTAAGAAATGTAAAACATATGAGATGTTTTACTTTATTTCGATGTTTTACATCGAAAATTCAGCAATTGCAAAACAAAATCAATTTCAATTTGAAATTCTGTACCTACAAGCCGAAGGATTTCGAATTCTATTACCTCTACTACAGCGCCATCATTTGTACAATTTTTCAGAACAGAATCATTTCATGCAGGAAAATTTATCTTTGTTTTTATTCGAGACGAAAATTATAGTTCTCCGCAACCTGAAGAAACAAACATGTGGCGACATCTGTGAACCAGTAGATTAAACACTATTATGATTTCAGTATCTTGTTCAAGGTCTAAACAGAAACCGACATATTAGGTCATAGTTTTTCTACTCACGTTCAGTGAGAATAGTATATAGTCTGAGAAGATGCCGCTACTGGTAACTCTTTTAGTTATAAGTAATTTTTCAACCTGAAAACTTGCTTTTATCTTCCAATACATGTTCTCCTGTTATCGAGAACTCTGTTAACTCCTACAAACCACGTGGTGAGGGATTTCTTTGTTTACATTTATGTGGGAGATCATCCTAGCGGGATTCCCAGTAAATAAGCTTATTTCCAGAAAGTCGACCCAAATATTAATGAAATGAAGCAATTAAAAGCTTCATTCTTCATTACGTCAATCCAAGTATATTTTTTTCGGAGAATATTCCATATGATGAACTTTTTTCTTGATAGTAGATGATTGACGACATAAATGTTCTCCTAGAAAAAGATATTTTGTCCAATTTTGAAACTCAGCTCGAATCATAAAAGAAGATAGAGAGAGCAGATTTTCTAAGCCTTTTTCTGTCGAAGATCAAAAACAATCCATTCTTCATACTTGCAGGACGTTGTTGATACATTAAAGAAAATTAGGATGCTTCTGGATTAGGAGAGCATAGGCTTTGAGAAGGTATAACCAAAACCAACACAATGAAATAATTTTAACGACTTATAATATCCATTATATGATCTGAATTCCTCTGTTGACATTTGTCAAAGCATACATTCATTCCATTGGCAAAGAATTCTTGTATTAATTATACTTCATCTTCGAAAACTGAATTTGACCATAGATGAAAATATATCCAACGAATTTTACACGATTTGGATTATTTAAAGGGCAATCAGTATACGTCTTTCAATAAATCTAGTAATGAAGTATGATAACGTGAAGGAAGATGGTAATACAGTTTTTTTCGCATTATTAATCAATTAATAATGAACCAGAGTGTTTTAGGTGTTTTCATGATACCTTTCATCCTTTTCCATGTGTTTCATCTTGCTAAATTAGCGAGTTGATTTTAATAAAATGCTATATGAACTGTATTACGTGTTTCAATTGAATATTCACACTAAAAGTGCTGGCTTTCCTGGCTTAGTCGTTAAAATATCTGTCTGTGGTGCAGTAGAATTCGGGTTCGAGCCCCAGTGAAGGCGTGGGGATATGTGTTTTTGCGTGGGGATATGTCTATTGTTTTTAAGAGTTTAATGATTGTTGGGTAATGTTCATTGATAAAAGCCTGTTAGCTTTTCGGAACCTGGCGTTAGAAAAAATCAAAATCAAAATTTGTAAAAAACACCAAGTCTCGCAACTCAGTTCTACCCCAGAATATTGTGAGATTTATGTAATACCAAGACGGTTAATTCAGTCAGTTTCTAGAAGAGGACTTTCTGTCAGTTATTACGTAATTAGCTAACCTAACATCTAAAACTGCCAAATCAATATTGAAAACCTTTTGTGTTTTAAAAAAATAGATTTACTTGGCCATCGCACTAAATTGTCTTATATTCAATATAATATGTACCTACTTGTGGGATACATTGTGTTTTTATACGATAGTCAAGTCAATATATTCTATTTAAACCTTAAAAGATTTTTAATATTGATTTGGTCACTATAAGATGTTCTTAGGTTAGCTAATTACGTAATAACTCAAGACAGGAGGTCTTTCTTCTGCGGACTGAATAAATAAATCGAATTGGCATGGATCTCACAACTTTTTATACTCGAAGAACTGAGATACCAGGTTTGGTGTTTTTTACAAATTTTGTTTTTCATGACATCTTATTCCTTCATGTAGTACCCACTGATCGTTGACTGCAAATGTAACTTTGTAATTCTATATATTTATATGGGAATACGGAGTTTATTCTAGTTTTTTCTTGATTTATACACTAAACTAATTGTATTCCAAATTTGTAGCTTCAATGTCTTTTAAAAGAGCCTTAAATTTTTGATGAGTCAGGTAGTGAGTGACAAAATTGGAAAACTTCGACATTTTATAATTCTTGAACTACTCGTTCAAATTGAATGAAATTGCTATTGTAGGTACTGCGTTTAGACAATACTCCATCGACTGACTGACTGTATTATTATTTAGTTTCGTTTGTATACCAATGCAAATACGGTTCTCAAAACTTTCGCAGTTTTAATTTAAATACTTTTAGCTTTTAATGTAAATTATATATTTTTCAATTGTGTAATTAATGTGCTGTTGTTTATAATTTGTTGATATCACAACATTAATCTATAAAAACAATGTTTTTTCTAAAAATTAATAAAAATCAGGACATAACTATAAAGATTAATGAACAAAAAATTAGAAGAGTAGAAACAGTAAAATATTCCGGCATTATGTTAGACGAATAATTGAGTTTGAAAATTGAGTCGACATATGTGAAATTATTGTTGTTCAAATCAATAATAATGCCCCATTTTGAATATTGCTGCATTTTGTTATTTTTTGACTAAAGAAAAAATTCAACAATTACAAAAGTTACAGAATAGAGCCATGCGAACAATTTTATAGTGCAATAGGTATACCCCTGTTAAAATTATGCTTCGGAACTAATGTCTGTTAAACAAAGAATACTCTTTGCTTCATATATATCCATATTCAAAATAAAAAATCGGTTGCTTCCATGTAAAGTAATGAAAAATGTAACATATGTCCGTGATGTGAATCTGTATAATACGAGTACTAGAAATACTGATAGTTTTTATATCCAAAGTTGTAAGCTCTCTAAATCTAAAAATAGCATATACCTACTACGAAGAATTTAAGGCTTTCAATAATTTACCAAATATATTGAAAACTAATACTAGTGTTAAGATATTTAAGCGTGAACTGAGAAAGTATATTTTGAATAATTAAATAGGTATGTAATTTAAAATTGACAGTTCAAAATATGTAGATTTTTTGTATAGCTTCAATTGAATAAATATTATTATTGTTATTATACGTACAAAGTATGTGAGGTTATATTATTACGTAATTTCAATACTTCAAATCATTAATCGATTGGACCGATACTTGATGAAAATCTAAATAAATAATTTAAATAAAACTGATTAGTTTTTCGATTTTCGCTATAATGAAATCAAAACATGACAATATCGTTTCGCCAACACAGTGGCTTCATCAGATGTTGGTGACAAACTGAGCTATTATATTGTGGACTGCGTATATTTATCCTGAAGTGCGTGGGGTGGAATGACCATAGAATACTGTTCTTCTTTTACAGGGGATGACTAAAGAACATATTTCTTCTATGGTCATCACCCACAATTCAGAAGAAATATGTCCTATAGTCATCCCCCTGTAAAATAAGTACAGTATTCTTTTGTCATTCCCACCCCACGCACTTCAGGATAAATATACGCAGTCCACAATGTAATAGCTCAGTTTATCATCAACATCTGAAGAAACCACTGTGTTGGCGAAACGATACTGTCATGTTTCGATATAATTATAGGGAAAATCGAAAAACTACTTAGTTTTATTTAAATTATTCAATACTTCACTTTTGCTTAAAGTTATTCACTCTCCCGTTTTCAATTTTTCATTGAATTTTCTACCTGTTCTTAAAGAAAATCATAATTTCAAGTTTCAAAAGTGAAGTTTTTGCCATCATCAAATATAAACTAGGTAAAAATCGTTGTTTCCAAGATATAATACAATTTATCACGTAGTTTTCTTCGAATTATTCTGGTTTTGGATTCGAGTGCAACGTTTTTCATTTCCATCATCTTCACTCGTAATAAAAACGAATTTTCTTGCCCAGACAGATATGAACTTGTCTGTCTCCCAAGGGCTTATGTTTTATAATGTTCCAACCTGAGTGAAAACTGACGCCACGTCTAGCGCGCTTCTCGAACTCAGCGTCGTTACGCCTCCAGGCGCCACTTTAATAATACTTCCGGCCCCCGGGTTCCCGGGAAACGCAGGATGTTAATTACTCCCAAAAATACCATCGACCACAGAAAAGAAGTTAATTGTGGGACGAGAACTTAATTATTGTATATAAATGATCCTTGGATAAACAAAGGATTCCCGGTCCGAATGGACAACGCTTCCCTGGGGACTTCTTTCGAATGGAGTTTTCTATTATGAAAAAGACAGATTGGTTTCACAAAAAGCTGCTTTTGACGGTGGAATTTTTGAATTTATGGGGCACGATGGAAATGGAATTTTTTGTTACGTAGACTTGAAATCAACTGAAGCAATTTACTTCCATTTTGAATAAGTTTCTTTTCATGTATACACGAGGTGGTGGAATTAATGCTGAGGAGAAGCAAATGTGACGAAAATGAGAATTATTTCTGTGTTTCTATATATTATATTACCCCTATACATTGTTTACAATCCCTGTTTGGATCAAAACTCAGTGAATCAATTACAACGTTTTCAGAACAAATGTTTGAGATTTATCTGTACCTAATGAAAGAAATTGATTATTCGAAAATAAAATGTATGTTTCAGTGACTTTTCCTAATATTCATTTACTGTTAACTCAAATCTGCATATCCCCCTTATTTATATGAACAAATTTCAAGGAATGATCTCCCTTTTTTCTGGCCCTTTGTGCTCATTTTGTGGTCACTTGCTGTTTATTTTCAGTTATATTTGTACTTATTTAATATGTCGTAACCATATGATAACCAGGTAGGTTTAGAGATGTCGCTTACTGTTGCAAATATTGGTTTCATATATTTGTTTATTATCCTGATTTCATACAATTTAATCTTGTAAATTTTTGTTTCATTATTATTTATAATCTTGCCAATATTATTAGCGGTCCGAAAAGCAATAATGAGTTTGTACTGTGACACGAGTAATTTTATACATGACCTACCAATATGAGTCAAACATCTCCATGAGAATTCTATTAGATTTTTGAAGAGTGAATGCTAATTATCGGGTGATAGGTGTTATGAACTGAATGAAACTCATAGTCCTTTCAAAATCTCAATGTTTCGTCAAACGTAACAGTTGTCAACCAGAATTAGATAGGTATAGATGAAAATGTAACAATCTTCAAATTAAAACTTACTAGGCTTTGTAGTGGTCCAAATGATACATTAACAATCAAAAATCAATTTTCACACAAGTATATTCACAATGAAAACAATTCATCATCAAATGTCAGTACTAAATGAAGCTAATAAATGAGTTACTATGACGCGAAGCAACAAGAAACGCAGACGAAATAAATGTAGTGTTTAAAAGAAACACATCTAGTATGGCAGGAAATTTTCAGGCGCGACTTGCTTCTGTAGCCTCATAGGAAGCGTGAACATCTTTCGATAAGAAGATCTGGGTTCGAAATCCAGATAAGATTGGGCGTTTGTGAATGTAAATTAAGTTTTTGCGGTTTTTGAAATCAAGATTATCAAGTAACATCAATTCAAATATACCTACAGAGATTACGAGATTCATTAAAAAAATGGAATTCATTAATAATAATGATGCATAATTATTTTTTATCCAATTTGAAAGTAAATGAATTGAAAGTTCTGTATGATGAAACAGCCGTTTTAATATGTACCTATGTAATTAAGATTCTAGCGAAGGTACAATACTGCTGTGAAATCTTTTTGAGTACTAGGTGTTTTTTAATGATAAAGCGAATAATATCTAAGACAAAAGTTCACGTTTATAGTAGATGAGAACCTCTGTAGACCTCGAGGATATTGTCGTAGATAAAAAACCTCTGCATTCACATGAGACTTCATTTTAAAACCTAAACAAATGATATAAACGAAATGCATATGTGATAAGTATTGAATGCAAATGTAAAATGAAAGTTTATAAATTCTATGTTCTAGACTCCGGCGTTTCACGGTATGAAATAGGTACGAAAGTTTATCTTTTCAAACTCATTGATAAATATCGGAATTGTTCGAAATCAATTGATTATCACCTCTCCTTAAGTGGTATTTATTAGATTTGATAATGGAAAATTTCTTCACTGGAAAAAGTTCGTCTTCAAATCTGAACCTCTGTGGTGATATTCTCTGTTAATAAAAATCTTCCGAGTTGACTTTCGAGTCACCCATGTTTTCTTTATGGTTTCAGAAGGGCGTCACGCATTTGTTTGACAAATAGTTTCCTTATCCCCTTCGAGTAATAATTTATAGAAAAAAGTACTCAGAA